CTCTCCCGTCTCCCTCTCCCGTCTCTCCCGTCTCCTCTCCCTCCCGTCCCCCCCGTCTCCCGTCTCCCTCCCGTCTCCCTCTCCCGTCTCCCTCTCCCGTCTTCCTCTCCCGTCTCTCTCACCCGTCTCCCGTCTCCCTCTCCCGTCTCCCTCACCCGTCTCCCTCTCCCGTCTCTCTCATCTCCGTCTCCCTCTCCCGTCTCCCTCTCTCCGTCTCCCTCTCCCGTCTCCCTCTCCCCTCTCCTCTCCCGTCTCCCTCCCTCTCCCGTCCTCCCTCTCCTCTCCGTCTCCTCTCCCGTCTCCCTCTCCCGTCTCCCTCTCCCGTCTCCCTCTCCCGTCTCCCTCTCCGTCTCCCTCTCCCCTCCCCCCGTCTCCCTCTCCCGTCTCCCTCTCCCGTCTTCCTCTCCCGTCTTCCTCTCCCGTCTCCCTCCTCTCCCGTCTCCCTCTCCCTCTCCGTCTCCCTCTCTCCCTCCCGCCTCCCGTCTCCGTCTCCCTCTCCCGTCTCCCTCTCCCGTCTCCCATCTCCGCCTCCCTCTCCCGTCTCCCTCTCCCGTTTCCCTCCCGTCTCCCTCTCCGTCTCCCCTCCCGCCTCCCTCTCCCGTCTCCCTCTCCCGTCTCCCTCTCCGTCTTCCTCTCCCGTCTCCCTCTCCCGTCTCCCTCTCCCGTCTCCCTCACCCGTCTCCCTCTCCCGTCTCCTCCCGCTCCCCCTCTCCCGTCTCCCTCTCCCGTCTTCCTCACCCGTCTCCCTCTCCCGTCTTCCTCTCCCGTCTTCCTCTCCCGTCTCCCTCTCCCGTCTCCCTCTCCCGTCTCCCTCTCCCGTCTTCCTCTCCCGTCTCCTGTCTCCCTCTCCCGTCTCCCTCTCCCGTCTCCCTCTCCTGTCTCCCTCTCCCGCCTCCCTCTCCCTCTCCCGTCTCCCTCTCCCGTCTCCCTCTCCCGTCTCCCTCTCCTGTCTCCCTCGTCTGTCTCCCTCTCCTGTCTCCCTCTCCTGTCTCCCTTTCCTGTCTCCCTCTCCTGTCTCCCTCTCCTGTCTCCCTCTCCCGTCTCCCTCTCCCGTCTCCCTCTCCCGTCTCCCTCTCCCGTCTCCCTCTCCCGTCTCCCTCTCCCGTCTCCCTCTCCCGTCTCCCTCTCCCATCTCCCGCCTCCCTCTCCCGTCTCCCTCTCCCGTCTCCCTCTCCCGTCTTCCTCTCCCGTCTCTCTCTCCCGTCTACCTCTCCCGTCTTCCTCTCCCGTCTTCCTCTCCGTCTCCCTCTCCCGTCTTCCTCTCCCGTCTCCCTCTCTCGTCTCCCATCTCCCGCCTCCCTCTCCCGTCTCCATCTCCTGTCTCCCTCTCCCGTCTCCCATCTCCGCCTCCCTCTCCCGTCTCCCTCTCCTGTCTCCTCTCCCGTCTCCCGTCTTCCTCTCCCGTCTCCCTCTCCTGTCTCCCTCTCCCGTCTCCCTCTCCCGTCTCCCTCTCCCGTCTTCCTCTCCCGTCTCCCTCTCCCGTCTCCCTCTCCCGTCTCCCTCTCCCGTCTTCCTCTCCCGTCTCCCTCACCGTCTCCCTCTCCCGTCTCCCTCACCCGTCTCCCCCTCCCGCCTCCCTCTCCCGTCTCCCTCTCCCGTCTCCCTCTCCCGTCTCCCTTCTCCCTCTCCCGTCTCCCCTCTCCCGTGTTCCTCTCCCGTCTCCTCTCCCGCCTCCCTCTCCGTCTCCCTCTCCTGTCTCCCTCTCCTGTCTCCCTCACCTGTCTCCCGTCTCCCTCTCCGCCTCCCGTCTCCCTCTCCCGTCTCCCTCTCCCGTCTCCCTCTCCCGTCTCCCTCTCCTGTCTCCCTCTCCTGTCTCCCTCTCCTGTCTCCCTCTCCCGTCTCCCTCTCCCGTCTCCCTCTCCCGTCTCCCTCTCCCATCTCCCGCCTCCCTCTCCCGTCTCCTCTCCCGTCTTCCTCTCCCGTCTCTCTCTCCCGTCTACCTCTCCCGTCTCCCTCTCTCGTCTCCCATCTCCGCCTCCCTCTCCCGTCTCCATCTCCTGTCTCCCTCTCCCGTCTCCCTCTCCCATCTCCGCCTCCCTCTCCGTCTCCCTCTCCTGTCTCCCTCTCCCGTCTCCCGTCTTCCTCTCCCGTCTCCCTCTCCTGTCTCCCTCTCCCGTCTCCCGTCTCCTCTCCCGTCTCCCCTCTCCCGTCTTCCTCTCCCGTCTCCCTCTCCTGTCTCCCTCTCCCGTCTCCCTCTCCGTCTTCCTCTCCCTCTTCCTCTCCCGCCTCCCTCTCCCGTCTCCCTCTCCCATCTCCCTCTCCCGTCTCCCTCTCCCGTCTTCCTCTCCGTCTCCCTCACCCGTCTCCCTCTCCGTCTCCCTTACCGTCTCCCCCTCTCGCCTCCCTCTCCGTCTCCCTCTCCCGTCTCCCTCTCCCGTCTCCCTCGCCCGTCTCCCTCTCCTGTCTCCCTCTCCCGTCTCCCTCTCCCGTCTCTCCCTCTCTCGTCTCCCTCTCTCGTCTCCCTCTCCCTCTCTCATCTCCCGTCTCCCTCTCCTGTCTCCCTTTCCTGTCTCCCTCTCCTGTCTCCCTCTCCTGTCTCCCTCTCCCGTCTCCCTCTCCCGTCTCCCTCTCCCGTCTCCCGTCTCCCTCTCCTGTCTCCCTCTCCCGTCTCCCTCTCCCGTCTCCCTCTCCCATCTCCCGCCTCCCTCTCCCGTCTCCCTCTCCCGTCTCCCTCTCCCGTCTTCCTCTCCCGCCTCCCTCTCCCGTCTCCCTCTCCCGTCTTCCTCTCCCGTCTCTCTCTCCGTCTACCTCTCCCGTCTCCCTCTCTCGTCTCCCATCTCCGCCTCCCTCTCCCGTCTCCATCTCCTGTCTCCCTCTCCCGTCTCCCTCTCCCATCTCCCGCCTCCCTCTCCCGTCTCTCTCTCCTGTCTCCCTCTCCCGTCTCCCGTCTTCCTCTCCCGTCTCCCTCTCCTGTCTCCCTCTCCCGTCTCCCTCTCCCGTCTCCCCTCTCCCGTCTTCCTCTCCGTCTCCCTCTCCCGTCTCCCTCTCCGTCTCCCTCTCCCGTCTTCCTCACCCGTCTCCCTCTCCCGTCTCCCTCACCCGTCTCCCCCTCCCGCCTCCCTCTCCCGTCTCCCTCTCCCGTCTCCCTCTCCCGTCTCCCGTCTCCCTCTCCGTCTCCCCTCTCCCGTGTTCCTCTCCCGTCTCCCTCTCCCGCCTCCCTCTCCTGTCTCCTCTCCTGTCTCCCTCACCTGTCTCCCGTCTCCTCTCCCCGCCTCCCGTCTCCCTCTCCCGTCTCCCTCTCCCGTCTCCCTCTCCCGTCTCCCTCTCCTGTCTCCCTCTCCTGTCTCTCTCTCCTGTCTCCCTCTCCCGTCTCCCTCTCCCGTCTCCCTCTCCCGTCTCCCTCTCCCATCTCCCGCCTCCCTCTCCGTCTCCCTCTCCCGTCTTCCTCTCCCGTCTCTCTCTCCCGTCTACCTCTCCCGTCTCCCTCTCTCGTCTCCCATCTCCCGCCTCCCTCTCCCGTCTCCATCTCCTGTCTCCCTCTCCGTCTCCCTCTCCCATCTCCCGCCCCCTCTCCCGTCTCCCTCTCCTGTCTCCCTCTCCCGTCTCCCGTCTTCCTCTCCCGTCCTCCCTCTCCTGTCTCCCTCTCCCGTCTCCCGTCTCCTCTCCCGTCTCCCCTCTCCCGTCTTCCTCTCCCGTCTCCCTCTCCTGTCTCCCTCTCCCGTCTCCCTCTCCCGTCTTCCTCTCCCGCCTCCCTCTCCCGTCTCCCTCTCCCGTCTCCCTCTCCCGTCTCCCTCTCCCGTCTTCCTCTCCCGTCTCCCTCACCCGTCTCCCTCTCCCGTCTCCCTTACCCGTCTCCCCTCCCGCCTCCCTCTCCCGTCTCCCTCTCCCGTCTCCCTCTCCCGTCTCCCTCGCCCGTCTCCCTCTCCCGTCTCCCTCTCTCGTCTCCCTCTCCCCTCTCCCTCTCCCGTCTCCCTCTCCCGTCTCCCTCTCCCGTCTCCCTCTCCCGTCTCCCTCTCCCGTCTCCCTCTCCCGTCTCCCTCTCCCGTCTCCCTCTCCCGTCTCCCTCTCCCGTCTCCCTCTCCCGTCTCCCTCTCCCGTCTCCCTCTCCCGTCTCCCTCTCCCGTCTCCCTCTCCCGTCTCTCCCTCTCTCGTCTCCCTCTCTCGTCTCCCTCTCCCCTCTCTCATCTCCCGTCTCCCTCTCTCGTCTCCCTCTCCCGTCTCCCTCTCCCGTCTCCCTCTCCCGTCTCCCTCTCTCGTCTCCCTCTCCCCTCTCTCATCTCCCTCTCTCAGTCCTGGTCGTCACAAAGGTCCGTGGCGTGGGCCGGCTAAAGCTGTTGCCATGTAGCGTCCGTGCAGGGGCCATGCTTCTCCCGTCGCCGTGGTTACCGAAGTTGGAGTCAGGTTAAAAGTAGACTGTCCCCTTGGAAACAGGCGCCTGGATCATTAGCCTCTGTGCTCATATGCAGTGTGGCTTTTTCACGGAAAACATAGACGACGGATAGAAGAGAGGAGACGGAGTGAGACGGAACAGGAAGTGACAGATGTTACCGTACACGTTTGTTTGTCGATCATTTAAAGCAGATACTAACTTTCAAATCACTAAAACGGGAAGAAAATCCAAAAATCTTTAGTTCTATCACTAGTTTTCACATTTCTTTTGTCACTTTATCCAGATCAGCTTTATCAGCCAATCAACTTACATCCCAAAACGTCAAATAGTGACTCACACGGCTCTTTCTTTTTAAGGCAAGGTGTGGCAAGTTTATATGTATAGCACAGTTCATACACAGAGCGACTCAAAGTGCTGAATAAATCATAAAAGGCATTAAAATCATAAATAATCACAGTACATTCAAATAAGTGACACTAAAATCCTTCAGTTGTAACATAGCTAAAAACCAAACTGTTTTTAATCTGGATTTAAACATTGTCAGAGTTTAAGCCTGTCTCACATTTTCAGGAAGATTGTTCGAGATTAGCAGCATGAATCTGGAATACTGCCTCCCCAAAGTCACCAGCGTCCAGTCCCTGTGCTCCTCAGAGTCCCAGCAGGAGGCCAGTCCCTGTGCTCCTCAGAGTCCCAGCAGGAGTCCAGTCCCTGTGCTCCTCAGAGTCCCAGCAGGAGGCCAGTCCCTGTGCTCCTCAGAGTCCCAGCAGGAGGCCAGTCCCTGTGCTCCTCAGAGTCCCAGCAGGAGGCCAGTCCCTGTGCTCCTCAGAGTCCCAGCAGGAGGCCAGTCCCTGTGCTCCTCAGAGTCCCAGCAGGAGGCCAGTCCCTGTGCTCCTCAGAGTCTGAGTAGATTCATACGGCTCTAACATGTCACAGATTTGACGCAGATTAAGATGAAGACTTTTTGTTTTGTTCTGAATCATTTGAAAAGAGATTTATATTTTTATATTGTAAAAAAATTTAAATAAACTATGCACCAGTAATAATCTCACCTCTGTGAATTGGAACTGAAATATGATGTGGTGGATACAGGACACACTGCAAAAAATGATAAACTGAACTCTTGCTTTATTTCCTCATTCCAAGAGAAAAATTTCTTGTATATTTTTAAAACAATCTAATTTTGCTTTGTCCCGTTGATAAATCCTGTTTTAATGCACTAAAATTAAGACACATTTTGCCAAATTTGAGCAATTCCGTGTTTGTTTTTCATCACTTTTTGCAGAGTGTATGTAGAAAAACAACTGTTAAAACCACATAAATGTGAAGGTGATGCTATTATTGCTCCGTTGAATGCACATACTGTATCCTCACACCAGAATCCTCAGATATGAAAAACAAACTCTCCCAACAGCGTCTGAAGCCGTGTCACTTCTTTCCAATCCTCCCCGTCTCCAGTTTCACACTGTGCAGATTCACCGCCCACCTCCTCCGCCGCCTGTGTCGGAGCCAAACTCCAATCCTCTCTTGTCCTTCCGTCCGTGCCCTTCTCGATTCTGTCCCTGTGGGTTATTGTACTTGACTGTTCCCCTCCCACGCCCCCTGCCTGCCAGCTGCTGTGTCTGCAGTCAACAGCCAGCTCTTCATCTGCCGCTCCAAACTGGCTGCACTCCTGGTTTGTCTTGGTCTCATCTCTTCCCAGGCCAGTCTCTGGGGCCAGGAGTCCAGGTCCAGGAGTCCGGGGCCGTGGCGAGAATAGCCAGTGGAGGTAGCATCTGTTCCACAACATGTAATAAAGTTGTCGACATATTTGCGCGATTTCCTTTGTCTTTCCATCGTGCAGTTTCCCCATTTACAAACTCTAGAAACCCCTTTCCCACCAGACCTGACGCACCAGCGACAACCGTAGACTGTAAATATCAACAGACGCAGTCACAGCTATCTCCGCCGTTTTGGCTTCTATGGGCCTTTTTCAAAATGGCCGCAGGAAAATTTGAAAAAAAATGCAATTGCGCAAGAATTAGCTGCACTAGCCACATTCATGTAACAAGTGCATTCTGAAGTCTACAGCGGCTAAACTAGACTGGTCCAAAGATATATACCCCCCTCAACATCGACAGCATCTGGAACATAGCGTTGGACCAAGAGCCACTTTAGGACCAAGAGCCACTTTTGGACCAAGAGCCACTTTTGGACCAAGAGCCACTTTTGGACCAAGAGCCACTTTTGGACCAAGACCCACTTTTGGACCAAGAGCCACTTTTGGACCAAGAGCCACTTTAGGACCAAGAGCCACTTTTGAACCAAGAGCCACTTTTGGACCAAGAGCCACTTTTGGACCAAGAGCCACTTTAGGACCAAGAGCCACTTTTGGACCAAGAGCCACTTTTGGACCAAGAGCCACTTTTGGACCAAGAGCCACTTTTGGACCAAGAGCCACTTTTGGACCAAGAGCCACTTTTGGACCAAGAGCCACTTTAGGACCAAGAGCCACTTTTGGACCAAGAGCCACTTTAGGACCAAGAGCCACTTTTGGACCAAGAGCCACTTTTGGACCAAGAGCCACTTTTGGACCAAGAGCCACTTTTGGACCAAGAGCCACTTTAGGACCAAGACCCACTTTTGGACCAAGAGCCACTTTAGGACCAAGAGCCACTTTTGGACCAAGAGCCACTTTTGGACCAAGAGCCACTTTAGGACCAAGAGCCACTTTTGGACCAAGAGCCACTTTTGGACCAAGAGCCACTTTTGGACCAAGAGCCACTTTTGGACCAAGAGCCACTTTTGGACCAAGAGCCACTTTAGGACCAAGAGCCACTTTTGGACCAAGAGCCACTTTTGGACCAAGAGCCACTTTTGGACCAAGAGCCACTTTAGGACCAAGAGCCACTTTTGGACCAAGAGCCACTTTTGGACCAAGAGCCACTTTTGGACCAAGAGCCACTTTTGGACCAAGAGCCACTTTTGGACCAAGAGCCACTTTTGGACCAAGAGCCACTTTAGGACCAAGAGCCACTTTTGGACCAAGAGCCACTTTAGGACCAAGAGCCACTTTTGGACCAAGAGCCACTTTTGGACCAAGAGCCACTTTTGGACCAAGAGCCACTTTTGGACCAAGAGCCACTTTAGGACCAAGAGCCACTTTTGGACCAAGAGCCACTTTAGGACCAAGAGCCACTTTTGGACCAAGAGCCACTTTTGGACCAAGAGCCACTTTAGGACCAAGAGCCACTTTTGGACCAAGAGCCACTTTTGGACCAAGACCCACTTTTGGACCAAGAACCACTTTTGGACCAAGAGCCACTTTTGGACCAAGAGCCACTTTTGGACCAAGAGCCACTTTTGGACCAAGAGCCACTTTTGGACCAAGAGCCACTTTTGGACCAAGAGCCACTTTTGGACCAAGAGCCACTTTAGGACCAAGAGCCACTTTTGGACCAAGAGCCACTTTAGGACCAAGAGCCACTTTTGGACCAAGAGCCACTTTTGGACCAAGAGCCACTTTTGGACCAAGAGCCACTTTTGGACCAAGAGCCACTTTAGGACCAAGAGCCACTTTTGGACCAAGAGCCACTTTAGGACCAAGAGCCACTTTTGGACCAAGAGCCACTTTTGGACCAAGAGCCACTTTAGGACCAAGAGCCACTTTTGGACCAAGAGCCACTTTTGGACCAAGACCCACTTTTGGACCAAGAACCACTTTTGGACCAAGAGCCACTTTTGGACCAAGAGCCACTTTTGGACCAAGAGCCACTTTTGGACCAAGAGCCACTTTAGGACCAAGAGCCACTTTTGGACCAAGAGCCACTTTTGGACCAAGAGCCACTTTTGGACCAAGAGCCACTTTTGGACCAAGAGCCACTTTAGGACCATCCCTTAAGGACGTTTTCTCGAGAGGAAAGAAGACGCCATACAAAAGCATTGGGTTATTCTCTTTCTGGGTAAACCCCCACTGGCCCGGAGTGGTATTGCAAGCATGCTTCGGCTGGCCAGGTGTGTAGCAACCAATCAGAGAGCAGCACAGAGCTGAGCAGGAGGAAGACACTCAAAAACAGACAAAACAAGAGCTGAAAAAGACAAAACCAGGACTGACAATGAGGAACGTGGTGCTTGTGAACCTATGTGTAAAGTGTCCCTGTGTGTCTCTGTGTGTCCCTGTGTGTCTCTGTGTGTCTCTGTGTGTCTCTATGTGTCCCTGTGTGTCCCTGTGTGTCTCTATGTGTCCCTGTGTGTCTCTATGTGTCCCTGTGTGTCTCTATGTGTCCTTGTGTGTCCCTGTGTGTCTCTATGTGTCCCTGTGTGTCTCTATGTGTCCCTGTGTGTCTCTATGTGTCCCTGTGTGTCTCTATGTGTCCTTGTGTGTCCCTGTGTCTCTCTGTGTCTCCCTGTGTGTCCCTGTGTGTCTCTATGTGTCCCTGTGTGTCTCTATGTGTCCTTGTGTGTCCCTGTGTCTCTCTGTGTCTCCCTGTGTGTCCCTGTGTGTCTCTATGTGTCCCTGTGTGTATTCAAACCCTGTGCTCTCCTTCCCTTGTTCTTGGTCCATTGTGTTTTGGTCCCTGTCTCCTCTTGGTTTGAGAGTTCTGTATCCTGATTTGTTTTAAACAGACTTGTAAAACGCAATAGCGACATAGCAGCAGTGCTAACAGGGCTTTAGAAGCATTAGGTAGATGGACAGATAGATAAGACATTCAGAGATCCAGCAGAAGAAACCCGTCCATCCACACAAACACCAATAAAGAGATCATTCTAAAACACTCCTGAAGACCGTAGAGAGTTCTGAACCAATGAGGAGGAACCTGTGAACGGTGCAGTAAGTTAGCGACGCCAACCTCCTTCTATCGTTTATGACCTCAGGACGTAAGAAGCTATGAGGCGTCCCACAATGCACTGTGCTGCTCACAGGTCTGTCCAAACAGGCTGTAAAACAGCTGCAGTACATTCAAAATGCAGCAGCTCCAGTCCTGACTAGAACCAGGAAGTACGACCACATTAGTCCTGACTAGAACCAGGAAGTACGACCACATTAGTCCTGACTAGAACCAGGAAGTACAACCACATTAGTCCTGACTAGAACCAGGAAGTACGACCACATTAGTCCGGTCCTCAGGTCTCTGCACTGGCTTCCTGTGGCTCAGAGAATAGACTTTAAAACAGCTCTGCTTGTTACAAGTCTCTCCATGGCCTCGCACCAAAATATATTAGTGACATGTTAGTCCCATATGAACCAGCCCGGACTCTGAGGAGCACAGGGACTGGACTCCTGCTGGGACTCTGAGGAGCACAGGGACTGGACTCTTGCTGGGACTCTGAGGAGCACAGGGACTGGCCTCCTGCTGGGACTCTGAGGAGCACAGGGACTGGACTCCTGCTGGGACTCTGAGGAGCACAGGGACTGGACTCCTGCTGGGACTCTGAGGAGCACAGGGACTGGCCTCCTGCTGGGACTCTGAGGAGCACAGGGACTGGACTCCTGCTGGGACTCTGAGGAGCACAGGGACTGGACTCCTGCTGGGACTCTGAGGAGCACAGGGACTGGCCTCCTGCTGGGACTCTGAGGAGCACAGGGACTGGACTCCTGCTGGGACTCTGAGGAGCACAGGGACTGGCCTCCTGCTGGGACTCTGAGGAGCACAGGGACTGGCCTCCTGCTGGGACTCTGAGGAGCACAGGGACTGGCCTCCTGCTGGGACTCTGAGGAGCACAGGGACTAGACTCCTGCTGGGACTCTGAGGAGCACAGGGACTGGACTCCTGCTGGGACTCTGAGGAGCACAGGGACTGGCCTCCTGCTGGGACTCTGAGGAGCACAGGGACTGGCCTCCTGCTGGGACTCTGAGGAGCACAGGGACTGGACTCCTGCTGGGACTCGGAGGAGCACAGGGACTGGACTCCTGCTGGGACTCTGAGGAGCACAGGGACTGGACTCCTGTTAGTGCCCAGAGTCAGAACTAAACATGGGGAGGCTGCTTTTCAGATTCATGCTGCTAAAATCTGGAACAATCTTCCTGAAGATGTGAGACAGGCCTCCTCTCTGACAATGTTTAAAACCAGGTTAAAGACAGTTCTGTTTAACTGTGCTACAACTGAGGGATTTTATATTTTTATCTTTCTTTTTAATGTTCTGTGATTATTTATGATTTTAATGCTATCTTGTTTTGTTCAGCACTTTGAATTGCCTTGTGTATGAATTGTGCCCACAATGCACTGTGCTTTCTCCCGCTGGAAGTTTGTTCTCCTTTTATTTGACGACCCACTGCCTCTGCGTGATGAGTTTGTGATGTGTAACAAGAAACATACAGAGTTAGCCTGTTAGCATACCACATCACAAGCATTTGTGGGCTCGGATTGTCCAAGTTGACTGCTGTTGTGATTTAGAGCTGTACGGAAAATGTATTACAATATATTGACACAGGGAGAAGAAGTTTATTTATACAGCGCCTTTCAGACCAAGGCCACAAAGCGCTTCACAGTTAAAACAAGTAAAAACAGACAAAATTCAATTTAAAATGTGCGTACAAAAAATAAAAATATAATGGCCAAGACAACTCAGTGACAAGCTTGCCCAAATAAATAGGTTTTCAGCTGAACTTTGAATGAATCAACAGACTCCATCAGCCGCAGAGAGAGCGGAAGATTGTTCCAGAGCTTAGGGGCAAACAGTCTCTGTTTCTGTAAAAAGTTTTTCGGCTAAAATATCTGATAACTTAGCAAAGATAGATTTAAAATGTCCGGAAATTAGGCCCATCTTCGAAAAGGACCCAGTGTAAATATGACGAATCTCAGTGCAGTGAAACATGATGACTCAGCGTTTGGAAATCTATGCATTTGGAAGCAGAACTCACTAAAATCTTGGCATTTCCTCCTGGACTGAGAAAAATATTAACTTTATTCACATTTGCAGATAAGAGTCACAGTTTAAGGTTAAGGTCAGGCTAGAAGTTTAGTAATTGTTCATTTGGATAAAGGTACAAAGCTAAAAAAGGCTAAAATATGACTTAATAAATGCTTGAATGTGGTTTTTATCTTTGCTCTATCTCAATTTGATTTCATTCTGACTTTAAAAAAACCAAGATGGGGACAAAACCATTTAGGATTATTTCAAGAACTGTTGATTTTTTTCTCATTCCAAGCGAGACATTTCGTGTATCTTTTTAAAACAACATCATTTTGGGGTCACGTGATGGCGGCGAGGTGAATGCAACGTTTTGACCAGGGCTCCGTGCCGCTCACATAATTATCCTGTCTTCAACCACATATTGGAAGTTACTATGCTATGAAAGTCGCGTGTTATGTCCTTAGAAAGCTTCTGGCCACAATCGTTTAACGAAATGAAGAAAAGCCGTGTGAACAAAGACAAGAAGGACACTCTCTCTGAAGTCGCTGAGGGCGCTCAAGATGGAGGCCAGGCTGATTCTGACATACCCGATGGATTAGACCCTGCTCTTGCTAAAGCGCTCAGCCTTATGACGGCCAATATTATAAAAGTGATTGATGAAAAACTTAGTCCACTGGCTGAGACTATTCACAAACACGCCGCGGAGCTCCAGACTGCCAGTAAACGGCTTGACGAAGCAGAGGCTAGGCTGCTAGCTACAGAGGAGGCAGCTGCCACGCATGAGCCCCGTATTATCGAGCTGGAAAAGCAGGTCAGTGCCTTGAAGAACAGTCTGGACATGGCGGAAAACTACAACAGGCGCTTAAATATTCGTGTCGTTGGCCTGGCAGAAGATACTGAGAAGGGACAACCGGTGGATTTCTTTGAGACTTGGCTGTCCAATGTGTTAAAGCTGACCACCAAAGCCGGGCGCGTAAAGCTCGAAAGAGCCCACCGCTCCCTCGCACCGAAACCGGACCCAGACAAACGTCCCAGATCGCTACTGCTCCGGTTCCACTCATTCCGAGATAAGCAGAGAGTAATGGAAGCGGCGCGCAGAGCCAGCAATGACGGTGGTTTGATTCACAACGGATCCAGACTGTCATTCTTCAGTGATTATTCCTCTGCGGTGGTGAAGAGACGTAAAGAGTATGATGCGGTGAAGCAGCTGCTGCGGGAGCGTGGGATTCCTTATGCCATGTTGTTCCCAGCTATTCTCCAGGTGACCCATGGAGGCTCCAGAAGGAAATTCACTACACCAGGGGAGGCTCACGACTACATAGACACCATGTCTGGATGACATTTCACCGCAGCTCATTGTGGTTCAATTTTATCCTCTCACGCGACAGTTATTTTTCATTTTAACATTTTTGTGACGTTTGTACTTCCATAATACCGGTAAGCTAAACCCGTTCTCTTTTTCTATAACATTCCATGTCGAGTGGCGCGGCTGCTCGTGGTTTGAAAACATTCTATATACTTTTTCACTGTTGTGAACCTGGAAGTTGTTCGTATGGCGGACGGCCCCTGTCTCTTTGGGGAAGGACCTCTGTTTTATTTTTGTTTTGTGCATTGCACTTGTTATGTGTGTGTAGTTCAGTTTGTGTGTTTCGCTCAGGACATGTATAGGCAATATTTAATTACCCTGTTGATGTGGCATTCTCTTCCACCCCTTAATGCTCCAGGTTTTTGATTTTATGGACCATGTAACATATGCACTAAGTAAACAGGGGGCTGCGAAACAGGCTCACGCTAGCTACCTTTTCTTTATACCCAACAGTATAGATGTCAAATTTAAATACAATTAAGCTTTGCTCCTGGAACGTCCGGGGCCTCCAAAAACCAACTAAGAGACTGGCTGTAATGTCATATTTGAAGAAACAAGAGGTCTCAATTGCGTTTTTACAGGAGACACATTTAGAGGACAAGGATATCACTAAATTGCAGAGGGGCTGGGTGGGGCATGTTTTTGCAGCTTCCTATTCCTCTTTCAGCAGGGGTGTGATTATTTTGGTCAGCAAAAAGCTAGCATTCAGATCCCTTACTTGTGTCAAAGACAGTCAAGGCCGTTATGTAATTGTTGAGGGAGTTCTGTCTGGAAAAAGTGTAACATTTATGAATCTATACTGCCCACCTGGCTACTCCCCTGAGTTTCTAACTAAAGCTTTTGCAGCTTTTTCCGATTTGGCAACTGGTGATTGCTTTGTGGGGGGAGACTTCAATTGTCATCTTAACCCCTCTCTTGATAAATTACCCTCAGGTTTGTCTCTCCCTTCTGGGCAAGCTAAAATGCTTACTTCTTTATGCCGTGACATGGGTTATTCTGATGTTTGGAGGGAGCTCCATCCCTCCAACTTAGAGTTTACTTTCTTTTCCTCCCCCCATAAAAGTTATACCAGGATCGACTACTTTTTTATTCCCTCCTCTAAAATGTTTCTTGTTCAGTCCTCAACAATCGGCAACATTATCTTATCTGACCATGCTCCTCTGTATTTGGTTTACTCTCTTTCTGAGGACAGGGCTCTGTCTAGGTTTTGGAGATTTCGGTCCTCTCTGCTTAAAGATGATACATTTACCTCTTATTTTGCATCAGAACTCAAGATATTCTATTCGATTAACTCCCCATCTACAAATAATCCCTCTATCCTTTGGGAAACGTGCAAAGCTTTTTCTAGGGGTCTCATTATTTCATATGTAACATCCAAAAGGCGTCAGAAGCATGAACTGTTTAAATCTCTCGAATCCAAATTATCTGATCTTGAAAAACGTCACGTCTCTGCCCCTTGTCCAAATCTGCTAAAAGAGTTGAATGCCACTCGTGCCGCCCTGAATACACTTCTGATTCAGGATTCTGAGCACACTTTGAAATTTGCTAAACAGAGGCTTTATGAATTTGGGGACAAACCCGGTAGGTTTCTTGCTAATCTGGTTAAGAATAGGTCGGACTCTCAAACGATAGTATCTATTTTGAATGTGGACGGTACCAGGTCATTTGATACCAAATCTATTAATAAAGACTTTGCATTATTTTATGGTAACCTGTATACTTCAGAGCAGTCAGGCAATGCCTCAGCGCTCATGCAGGCATTTTTCTCAGATCTGACCCTTCCAAAAGCTACAGAGGACCAAAGACTACAACTTAATGCTCCAATCACAAAAGCGGAAGCTCTGCTTGCCCTTAAATCTATGCCTTCTGGAAAGGCTCCAGGGCCTGATGGATTCGGATGCGAGTTTTATAAGGAGTTTTGCCCCATCCTTCTTGATCATTTTTTAGCTATGCTTAACCACTCATTTGAAAATGGTATACTACCTCAATCACTTAGAGAGGCCAACATCTCCCTTATCCTTAAAAAGGGAAAGTGCCCTGATAGTTGTGCCTCATACCGGCCGATAGCTTTACTTAACGCTGATCAGAAATTGCTCTCAAAAATACTGGCTCTTCGGCTAGAAAAAGTGCTACCTCACATTATCAAGGAGGATCAGACCGGCTTCATCAAGGGTCGTAATTCCTATGATAACATGAGAAGGCTCCTCAATATTATTCAGCTGTCGCAGGGAGCCTTGGACCCGGCATTAGTCCTTTCTCTGGATGCGGAGAAGGCCTTTGACCGGGTCGAGTGGTCATATTTACACAAGGTATTGGAGGAATTTGGCCTGGGGGGCTATTTTGCAAAGTGGGTCAAGATTTTATATAATTCCCCAACCGCAGCCGTCCTGACCAACGGACTGAGATCTAGCAACTTCCCTCTTAACCGAGGCAATAGGCAGGGAGATCCCCTTAGCCCGCTGCTCTTTGATATTGCTATCGAGCCATTAGCTCAGGCAGTGAGGCAGAATGCCCTTATATCTGGTATTTTAGTTGCTGGGAGGGAACATAAAATTTCACTATATGCTGACGATGTTTTGATATTCTTGTCCCTTCCTGAATCTTCTATTCCCTGCCTGACTAAATTAATCTCGTCATTTGGTGCCTTCTCAGGATACAAAGTCAACCTAGCAAAATCTGAAGCCATGCCACTGGGTTTGTCGGTCTCGGTCCCGGTCCTGGCAGAGCCCTTTCCTTTTCGATGGTCCCCCTCTGGTTTCATTTACTTGGGAGTGCATATAACGCCTACATATGAGCAGCTGTACAAATCCAATTTCCCCCCACTTCTGGACACCATAAAAGCAGACTTAGACCGCTGGGCCCCTCTGCCCCTTTCCTGGCTGGGTAGAGTTGCCCTTATCAAAATGAATATTCTGCCAAGACTGTTATATCCACTGCAAATGATCCCTATTTTACTATCAAACAAGGTTATTAAGGTGCTGGAAGGCTGGCTGAGTGCCTTTATCTGGAACAAAAGGAAGCCCCGACTTAAAATGGCAAAACTTCAAATGGCCAGTTCTGATGGCGGTTTAGATGTTCCTAATCTAAGACTTTATCAGCTGGCAGTACACCTTCGAGTGATGGCTGATTGGCTTAAACAGGATCCAGCCTCCATTTGGCTTGATATTGAATCGTCCCAATCCATTCTCCCCCCGTTTAGTTTACTCTTTATGAATAATCCTGATGGATTGAAGAAATGCTGTTCTAATCCTATCACTCTAAGCACAGTTAAGGCTTGGAGATCTATTCGTACTTTAGAAGGTCGTGCTCACCTAACATCCCCTCTTACACCTATTTTGTTTGGCCCAGACTTCTTGCCTGGCCGTCAGGGCCAGGGTTTTAAATCTTGGCATGCTTGTGGGCTGAAAAAACTGGGAGACCTGTTCATTAATCGGACTATGCTCTCCTTTCAGCAGCTCCAGCAACAATATGGTTTACAAAAGGGTGAGTTCTTTAGATTTCTACAAATAAGGCACTTTGTTATGACAGATACCACTCTAACGACCAACAGTGTGGTTTCTCCTGTGGAAAGTGCTTTGTCTTCTCAGATATCTAAAAAACATATTAGTACTTTTTACAAAGTGCTTACTTCCAACCTGCCCCTCACCTCCCAGCCTACTAAGGAGGCCTGGGAGAGAGACCTGGGTGTCTCTATAGACGAATCAGCCTGGCGGGAAGTATGGGCTCATGCTGCGAATATATCAGTTTGTAATCGAGCTAAATCTATTCAGTTTAGAATCTTACATCGTGTACACTATACACCTGTGCTCAAAAACAAAATGGACTCTAGCATCCCCCCCATTGTGTTGGAAGTGTAAGACTGACATTGGCGATTATATTCACTGTTTTTGGTCCTGTGCAAAGTTACAACGCTACTGGACTGATATTGTGAATGAACTGTCCAATATATTCCATAAGCCAATACTGCTGGACCCTGTGTGCCTTATTTTGGGCCGCCCTGATATCCATATTACAGACAGCAAACAGAAGAGGCTGTTTAAAATACTGACTTTTGCTGCTAGGAAGAACATATTGCTTCTTTGGGGAAAGGATTCCGTCCCCACAAAGAAGTCATGGCACAAACTCATAATGGACTCCATCCCGAATGAGTACATTACATGTATGCTTCACTCGACATTGGACACTTTCCATAAAGTCTGGGACTCATACTTGAAATATATTGGGCCTATATTATCTTCCCCCATTACAAGGTTATTCTGATTCAGTCTTATCAGTCTATGTCAAGTCAACTGGGACTTCCAGTCAACTGAAGGATTTGCTACCTGGGTACCTTTACTTTATCTTTTTATATATTATTATTTTATTTTTATTTTTTGTCAGTGGTTCTTGTGTATTTCATGTAGGGAGTGGGGTCTGGGGGGTGTGGAGATGCCAAATTGTATTATCTCGTTTTTACTATGTTGTCCTGTAGTGCCTGAGCTGTTTTTTGTGTTTTCTGTTTGTTTTAAAGGAAAAATGTCCTGGATCTACAGCCTCAGTCCTCGTTCTACAGTCTGAGTCCTGGATCTACAGCCTCAGTCCTCGTTCTACAGTCTGAGTCCTGGATCTACAGCCTCAGTCCTCGTTCTACAGTCTGAGTCCTGGATCTACAGCCTCAGTCCTCGTTCTACAGTCTGAGTCCTGGATCTACAGCCTCAGTCCTCGTTCTACAGTCTGAGTCCTGGATCTACAGCCTCAGTCCTCGTTCTACAGTCTGAGTCCTGGATCTACAGCCCCAGTCCTCGTTCTACAGTCTGAGTCCTGGATCTACAGCCTCAGTCCTCGTTCTACAGTCTGAGTCCTGGATCTACAGCCTCAGTCCTCGTTCTACAGTCTGAGTCCTGGATCTACAGCCTCAGTCCTCGTTCTACAGTCTGAGTCCTGGATCTACAGCCTCAGTCCTCGTTCTACAGTCTGAGTCCTGGATCTACAGC